AATTTTCGCCGTACCTAAACTTTGGAATTTCCAGTGCTTTCTCCTCTAAAACATAAAAAACTTCTCATCCCTTAATATTTGCCACTCAGTGCTTTTCCCCCAAATTCCAAAAATTGTGTCTTCCCTAAATTCTTGCTACGCTGCTTCTTGGGTTTATGGTGGAATAACATATCAGTTTATTCTTAATTAAAATAGCACTAAATGCAACCTTTTGGTCTATGAGTTTCATTAACAAAATCTATTTTTAGCATATGAAAAGAAATTTTTGTTGAATTTTTCCTCCTCAGCATTTCTTAGAGCACTTAAAAATCTATAATCATCGCCAAGCGTAATGGTAGCATAAAAGGTTGCCATACTCTTGTTATTCAATTGCTAATATAAAAAAAGTTTAGACATCACAGCATGAATTATTACATAAGCTGTCATGTATTGATAAACAGGCAGTGATGAAAGCAAAATATAATAAATAATGACACGCCAGGTCAGCGTCAGGGATATAAAATAGGTTTAGGTTTGAGATGTATGCCAAGTAGATACTCAACTATGGAGCCAAATTATTAATCTCCCAAATTTATGCTTACATGATTATTTTTCCATAACAACGTATTTTATTTAGTGCCTAAGTGAAATTAAGAATCAGAATTTTTAAGTGACAATCTCCACATGTTTTATTATGGAAGGAAAAATCAAATGCGCTTGCGTAAAGCATTAATTTAAAAAAAAAAAAAAAAAAAAAGTTTGTGGCTTTGTGGTCCGGATTTTAGATCATTTCGGACTTTGTACTGTATTAACTATGCAATTATTGCATAACTTAAGATTATGTAATCTGTATAAAGGTGCCAATTTTCATGCCAATTAAGGATTGTGGAATAAATAATGCTACGTTATGTGAATACATCACAAAAAATAATTTTAACTTGTTTGCACATAAAATACCTACAGTAGCTTACATTTGTTTTTGGACTCTTGTAATTGCTATTTGCATTGGTTAAATATTGAAACATGGTCTTCAAACTTTTTTTTTTTTTTTTTCTTCTGTTTTAACCATTGACTATTACAAAATCAATATCATCAAAATATTCCTCACAATAAAATAATTTATTCCAAATGTGTTAATTAGTAACTCGCATATCAATTTGGACACTCAAAAATTTTGTTGAAATGTTGTGGCACACGTTTCCGATGCTAATATTTTGTATTGAATGAGAATATATCACAAGAATTAATGTGTGCATTTGGAGCATAGCACTTGTCTGACAAAATATATTAGCATTTCCATATCTGAAGTGAGCATGCAAATACGCAACAAATTAATGGCAAATTCCATTAAAAATTTAATTATTTCTCATGTGTATATTATTTATTATTTTAAATTCCTCTCAGGACTCTTTTTATGAAAGCAGACAACTGTGGGTTATAATAAATTGCAAGTTTTTCTAAAAGTTACTTTTGTGTTAGGAAAGCATGTTATAAAAACAAAACTTTTAAAATATCATTTTTAAAAAAGCCAAAATTTAATTGTTAAGAGTGGTGCTTTTAATGTTACATCGTATGATTCTTGACATTTTTTTAAATGCCAACTCTGCATATAATAAACTACACTATACTCCCAAGGAGGAAAAAAATAATTTTAGTAGTATAAGGTAATTTCTTGGTGTTTTCTTTGCTAAGGAGCCACATGCAAATTTAAACTTCTTACATGTATCTTAAAATATGCCATGATCAAAATTACAATGATCTAAAAATACTTTAATGCTTAATTTAAGTTATTAAGTAAGTAATTAAGTAAGTAAGGACCATGTGTTTCTGTGACTCCTTCTCCTTTATTTTCTTCTTTCTATGTATTTCTTTCTTCTGATGAGGAGGGACCTTTAGCTGCCCTCAAAATCGATTGAGTGTTTCATTATACCTACAAGGTTGTTTTTACGATTTTGATTGTCACATTAGCGTGTTTCTCTTCTAGTCTAGTATACAGAGGTTACACAAATCAATTTAATACAAAATTGGCTCAAAACTTGACTGGCATAGAATTTAACTATCAACAATTATAATGCAAGACTGAAGACTACAATTCTTATCTAGCAATCTAGTAACATGGCTTCAAGAGGCAAAACATGCTTTGTTTTAGAAAATAAAAACCTCACCTTAAATACATGCGAAGGAAAGGTGAAGTGACAATAAAGATCCCAAACATAAAATAACTCTGGTTACTTAAAATAAAGAAAACTTGCATTATACTTTATTCCCTGATTAATTTCACTACATGAAATAGTGTTATACATTTTTGTTCGCATCATACACAAATTATTTATTTTACTTAAATGCTATCCAAAACTGAAGAGGATTTGGCCAACATATTAACCATATTTTTCAACCTATAGATATGACACTTCTTCAATTCAGAAATAAGAGTTATTTTCTAAGAAATCAATTAATTTTACATGTTAAAAAACATCACTTAATTGCTGCTGGAAAAACTGTTTCAGAATGAAAAAAGTGAGATAACTACAAATATTATCACACCTTTAAACCACTGCTATGTGAGATTTCATAGAAAAATGATGTGGATAGCTATAGCAACACGAAGCATAGAAGAATAAAAAATAGCTTTACTTCTCAAAATATTTCATTGAACTCATAATTAAAAACAGCAAATAAAATACAGGGATCTATATTTAAGAAGAGAGAGAACAGTATCTATGAATAGAATATAAATACATATGCAGGTTAGCAGAAGAAGGATTCCTTCATAAAGAACTTTTTAAGAGAAACTGGCTCATGTTACATGTAAGGAAAACCACAAAAACTGACATACAACCAACCTGAACGACCCATTGTTCAGTGCCTTATCACTCCATCACTAGTGGATTCCAATGACTATTCGAATCTGTCATATAAATCATCAGTTATAACAACTGCTGGTGTGTATTGTTACAATTGATATAAAATTTACTCGTTAAGATAATTTAATTATAATTATAAATTACTTGTAATAAACTGAGTGATTAAAAAACACATGCATGTTAATAATATTAAAACAACATTTACATAATTTAATTTACAAAAAGTATTTCTATCACTATGTATCATTTACCACTGGTATAAAATTTACTTGTTATAATTTAATTCGGTTTACATGAAACATTTTTTTTATTAATTTTTAATAATGGATTCTAAGAATCTAAAGTACCATGTACTAGACTTAAATACATTTATTAACCTCTTGTAAATTTCATTACTCATAACATAAGATTCATTCATGGCAGTGTTTCAAGAATTTATCCTAGCAGTACTAAGTGTTGAAAATTATAGAATGCCTGTTAACTTAAGAGGTTATCACACTCGGCTACAGTCCCTGTTAGATGAGACTTTTCTGAGAAACAAGACTCTGGTAGCACTGATTTAAACGGGAGGATTCCTAGAAAAAAAAAAAAGCCCTGACTAGCTACGGAAACGATGTTGCGGCTACACGGGATTTTTTTCAAACCTCACTGAAAATGTCTTTGGACCTCTGTCCTAGGTAGACACAATCATCATAGGAAAGTTCTGCTTTTGAAGCATCACATGATCCCAATCTAAGCAATAATCAATTAGTGTTTGGCGTTCAAGTCTTTGAAGTAAGTCAAAATGGTTACCTAGCTACATGGGTTTCCTGGAATTGTGCGGGGTTCTGAGAATTGTCCCTTTCGAGGTCAAGTTCTGCTTAGCCAAAGCATAATGTGAATGAGGTCTTGATCCTTACATACGGTACACATGGGATTTGGCAACATTATGAGGAGCAGTAAATTAGTCATTTTGGTGTTGGCGACAATTTTCAAATGTGCGGCAAGGAAATACCGTATACTAGGATTTGGTTTAGTTTATTTAATTATGGCAAAGCACACTAGAGCTATCTGCCTAAGGGGAGGGATGCCTTTGTGGAGGACTTTCTAAGGGAAACTGGCTCATATACACATTACACATGGGGAAAATCACGAAAATGCCCATGCAGCCAGCCTGTTGGCGGGATTCATACCTCGGGCCGAACTACTAGTGTAGGGGGTAAAGCCGAGCGGTAAAGTAGCTGAGTGACTTTACCACTCGGATGCTAGTGGGCCATACTAGAATTTGGGTTTATAGCAATATACTATAAACCCAAATCTTAGTCTATACGCCCGAGTACTTTACTCTACACAGGGTGTTTCAGCAATTTGGGTACAAACTTTCAGGAGAGATAAAGTACACCTAGATGATGGAAAAACCCTGAAACAGCTTTAGTATTAGTCCTTTTAGCGAATTTTTTATTTGGCGGCAAAATGTTCTTGGCTTTGACGACTGGGAAAAATGATGAATCGTCAACAAATCCCATCAAGGATAAATATATCTAGACTAAATATCAATCCTAAAAAATAAGTTCTTGATTAGTATACCGCAAAAAACAGGCTGGTAAAGTACTAGTACACGGTACGGCATTGGCGCGATTTTGAAAATTGCTGCCAACAACAAAATGACTCGTTAACTATTTATCATAATGGCGCCGAATCCCATCTGTACCGTTATACTAGGATTAAACCTCTCTCGGTTTAAACTAACATTATTCTTTTTGTTGCCGATGTGGATCATTCTTATTTAGGCCTTAGTGTAGAATTGGGTGCCCCTTCAATTGGCGACATTTTTTAAAAATTTTTGGCAATGAAACCTCACTTCTGGTTACCACGATAGTTTTAAATTTGTTTTAGCTTCCCGATTTTATTTAAATGAAAATTGATTGATGTGTACATGGACATATTTAAGGCAGTGGCAATGCCTAGTTTGTGCAATTCTAGGATGTTTTATAAGTAAAAACAGATCGATGTGTACATAGACACAGATCTTATGCAATTCTTCGACTTCTTATTTCGGTTTTGTGTAGCGGCCATCTTGAAATTGTGACATCCTGGCGCCATGAAAGAATCGGCAATAAACAAGGGGCACCCAAATGTAAACTTTTACCCTTACTTATTTCATGATAGTATACTTACTTTGCAAAGATCTTGATTTTCAATGAAATGAAATCTAAGCACCAAAACTGTCAAAATTCAGTAAGTTTGATGTAGGACGCTCTATGAAGTCACACTTGGACGTACTCAGAATTTAAGTTACATATTTTTAGAATCCTTAAGTATAGAATAATTTTCTCTGGAAATAGCAGACTATTATAAAATCATCCAATAATAGCCTTCTGATTGCAAACTTCTTTTGTACTACTTCAGAGAATCAACGAGAATTTAGACGCTTGCCCAACGTCCATTCTTTGGCTTGACAAAGAAGACATAAGACATATGTCTTGTTTTGCACGCGCTAAGTCTTTCTGCGCGCAGGGCGAAAAAAATTAAGCTTAGGTTCGAATGAAAGGTAACATTTTCATATTTGTTTAACTTGGATACTGATCTAAGTTGCGCAAAATAGCTTATTCTTCTATTTCCAGCCAAAGGCCTCAGAGCACAACGCCAAACTAGAGGTCAAAACTCCTAGCGGTTGATGCCTCAAACGATGTCGGATGTTAGATGATAGATAAAGGAAATGTGAGTGGCAACCAACGAGATAATATACTGGTAGAGACGTGTTGGTAGAGAGCGTATTGCAACCTTCAACCTAAGGCTCCTCTAAACCAGGCTGAATCACCAACTTTTCTCTCTTGGCGAGGGAGGGAACGCGCTACCAATTTTGGCGCGTTTATCGCACACGCTGGCTGAATGTCTGCTGTTTTTTTTTAAAGATTTATTTTATAGACGCGCGGCATTCAGCGCACATAAACATTTCGGATAATTAATTAATTCTCGAATAGTATATAGACGTTTTCACTTAAATAAAAATTTCGCGTATATTTTGTAAACATATTCAAAATAACTTATTCTTTAGATGTTTCAGTTTCGTTAGCAGACTAAAATAAATAAGATATGAATAAAAACTTTCAATAGTGTCAAATGGGGAAATAGTTAAAGCGTAGAGTGTGCAAATAAATTTTATCTTAATGACATTTTAACAAAAAAATTTCCATAAAAACACTGTAAATTCATACTAAAAAATAACTTAAGAATATGTTGTCATTTTAGTCTGAGGTATATATGGAAATAATTGTGCAAGACTCTGAAGAAACACTTTCTTTTAAATGTGTGAAATATTTCATAACATATATGGAAGAAGAAGTACAGCATTCTGTGTTTTGGATGACTTTTCATCAAATGTAATATAAATACGAACTAGAAACCGTAATAAAAAGTCCTTCCTCTCCAATCAGATCACCTTTGTGTTGCATTGTATTTGTAATACTTCTAAAAATCCAATTTTTACCTAAATTAAAAAACAGTTATTCCATAAAAGATAATAAATTTGAACGTATATAGAATGAATTTTGTAATTTGAGTTATGTTACAAAATAATTCATAGTTTATATATTTTATACTAATAATTTAGATAAAACCTGTCCAATTTAAGAATGTGTGTTAACCACATTCTTAAATTGTAAAAGGACGACTTAACCACATGTAATTCATTTCAAAGCATAAAAGAAAGCTTATTTTTTATTTTACACAGCAACAGCATTTTCATGCAGTCAAGTTTTTTTAATTGCTAGTTATTATACATAATACTTAATTTTTAACACCATTCTTATTAGAAAGCATAACTAAGAAACTTCTTTTTAAAGCACCACAGTGATTGCAAAGAATGTCGTTAAATTTACAAAAGTATTGAAGATATATTGAACAGCATTATAACAAGAAACTACTGTACAAAATATGTAAATTTAGCATAACTTCTTTTTTAGTATTTGCATAGTTTCCTCCTCCAAATGAACCTTAATGGGAAGTTATCTTGCAAAAATTTAAAAGTATTAAAATGGCCTCTATTTAAGATGTAACTGCATTTATAATTATTTTGTAATTGTGAATAGATTATATTATTGCAATTAGATTATGCACTTACAACATAATTGCATAAAGTAATGAAATTAAGAGTTCACAGATACAATGTAATATAATTACAATGCAATTATCTAAATTGTAATTATAATCACTTATTTAATACCACAATATTATTACAATCACAATGTAATTTAAATTGGGTACTATATTTGTATACCCCTCCACTCAAAAGGAGGTACTGATAAGCCTGGAAGTTATTATCAACAAAAAGCCTGTTCAGGACAGTTTGATGACAATTTCCACCGGGCGAAAAGTACATTCTTAAGCCCAGGCAAATCATGACAATAAAAATCATTTAGTCTCATGATTCACTATATTTCAAACCCTAAATTTGAATTCTGCACCAAATTATTTACCTATATTTTAACATACTTTATGAATTATTAGAAGCGATATGGCAAATATCTTCTAAAAATAACTGTAAAATATTTTGTATCCATTAATTGATTCAGATACACACTTTTATTATTTAAGTATATCAAAATAACAGTTTCATGTTCCTGAAATACAAAAGTTATGAAAAAAGTTAAAGTAATATTCTTAGAAGCATATGATATTAGTCACCAGCTGCAAAACAGTTAATTTTTTTGCCCTAAATACAAGTTTATTACACAGTAGTCAAATGTGTAACTTAATAACATGTTATATAAAAAATTAATGATAATAAGTTTATATCAGAAATGAATTAATTCTGCAAATAAACTTTCTGCATTTGAAAATTTTCTACACCTGAGGGGAGGGAGAGATCTAGTAAAATTAGATTTATTATAACTTCAGTTGGACCAAATACCTTCTCTCTCTATATATATGCATCACTAAAGAAATAAATAAAATTATCATGCTTAAAAAACAGATGTACCATACCAGTTTTTTTCCCCTTGTTACCCTTTACATTGAGAAATAACAAACAGTACAACGCTGAAAAATACTTATCCTTGAAATTTTATTTAAATGAAGAAACACACACCATCTTTTTATTTAAGCATTACACTTCAAAAACAGATACACATACCAATTTATTTTCACTAGCCTTTATACTGAATAACATGCCATATAAAAAATGAAAAGAATTATCCTTGAAATTTAGATAAAATGAAGTAACACAAATGGAAAATTTATGCACACGGACATCTTTTTTCTATTGCATGTTTGTCTGACATGATCCACAAGTGCCTAAAAATGTACCCAAGGAAACACATTTCAATATTAACAAAAAATTGTTTACAGATTAAAATTCATTCATTTCATACCAGTATTATAAAGATCATGCATGAAACAAATCTGCTTTCCCATACTTTTAAGTAAAACTTTTATACTGGAAAATAGACTATATTTCTATATTAGAAACAAGAAATACTAATTTGAATGTTCTGCATTCATTTCTAAATCTTACTCCATTGCCAATTGTATATACTGTGATTATAAATAAACTTGCACAATCCTTGCAATTATTGAAGTCAGATTATATATATTTTGTCTCACACTATTCAATTTATTCTATTGACTTTCAGATGTCAATGTCAAAGTTCTGGAAGTTATTTTAGCCAAGAAACAGGTATTGGGCACCGTGCATAAACAACTCATCTAACTTTTCAACAATAGTGATTATAAATTAAGGAAAAAAATTATACATCATTCCAACGATATTGCAACTATAGTATATGTTACATATATCTTTAGCAAACATTCAGATTTTAACTTGACGTTTCCAAATTATTATTTATTTTTTAATAAATTTCAATAGCTAAAGAAACACTTTCTTTTAAATGTGTGAAATATTTCATAACATATATGGAAGAAGAAGTACAGCATTCTGTGTTTTGGATGACTTTCATTTTTCACCAAATGTAATATAAATACGACTAGAAACCGTAATAAAAGTCCTTCCTCTCCAATCAGATCACCTTTGTGTTGCATTGTATTTGTAATACTTCTAAAAATCCAATTTTTACCTAAATTAAAAAACAGTTATTCCATAAAAGATAATAAATTTGAACGTATATAGAATGAATTTTGTATTTGAGTTATGTTACAAAATAATTCATAGTTTATATATTTTATACTAATATTTAGATAAAACCTGTCCATTTAAGAATGTGTGTTAACCACATTCTTAAATTGTAAAAGGACGACTTAACCACATGTAATTCATTTTTCAAAGCATAAAGAAAGCTTATTTTTTATTTTACACAGCAACAGCATTTTCATGCAGTCAAGTTTTTTTTCATTGTTAGTTATTATACATAATACTTAATTTTTAAAAAACACATTCTTATTAGAAAGCATAACTAAGAAACTTCTTTTTAAGCCCCACAGTAATTGCAAAGAATGTCGTTAAATTTACAAAAGTATTGAAGATATATTGAACAGCATTATAACAAGAAACTACTGTACAAAATATGTAAATTTAGCATAACTTCTTTTTTAGTATTTGCATAGTTTCCTCCAATGAACCTTAATGGAAGTTATCTTGCAAAATTTAAAAGTATTAAAATGGCCTCTATTTAAGATGTAACTGCATTTATAATTATTTTGTAATTGTGAATAGATTATATTATTGCAATTAGATTATGCACTTACAACATAATTGCATAAAGTAATGAAATTAAGAGTTCACAGATACAATGTAATATAATTACAATGCAATTACTAATTGTAATTATAATCACTTATTTAATACCACAATATTATTACAATCACAATGTAATTTAAATTGGGTACTATATTTGCATACCCCTCCACTCAAAGGAGGTACTGATAAGCCTGGAAGTTATTATCAACAAAAAGCCTGTTCAGGACAGTTTGATGACAATTTCCACCGGGCGAAAAGTACATTCTTAAGCCCAGGCAAATCATGACAATAAAAATCATTTAGTCTTATGATTCACTATATTTTAAACCCTAAATTTGAATTCTGCACCAAATTATTTACCTATATTTTAACATACTTTATGAATTATTAGAAGCGATATGGCAAATATCTTCTAAAAATAACTGTAAAATATTTGTATCCATTAATTGATTCAGATACACACTTTTATTATTTAAGTATATCAAAATAACAGTTTCATGTTCCTGAAATACAAAAAATTATGGAAAAAAGTTAAAGTAATATTCTTAGAAGCATATGATATTAGTCACCAGATGCAAAATTATAGTTAATTTTTTGCCCTAAATACAATTTATTACACAGTAGTCAAATGTGTAACTTAATAACATGTTATATAAAAAATTAATGATAATAAGTTTATCAGAAATGAATTAATTCTGCAAATAAACTTTCTGCACTTGAAAATTTTCTACACCTGAGGGGAGGGAGAGATCTAGTAAAATTAGATTTATTATAACTTCAGTTGGACCAAACACCTTCTCTCTCTATATATATATGCATCACTAAAGAAATAAATAAAAATTATCATGCTTAAAAAACAGATATACCATACCAGTTTTTTTCCCCTTGTTACCCTTTACATTGAGAAATAACAAACAGTACAACACTGAAAAATACTATCCTTGAAATTTTGTTTAAATGAAGAAACACACACCATCTTTTTATTTAAGCATTACACTTCAAAAACAGATACACATACCAATTTATTTCACTAGCCTTTATACTGAATAACATGCCATATAAAAATGAAAAGAATTATCCTTGAAATTTAGATAAAATGAAGTAACACAATGGGAAAATTTATGCACACGGACATCTTTTTTCTATTGCATGTTGTCTGACATGATCCACAAGTGCCTAAAAATGTACCCAAAGAAACGCATTTCAATATTAACAAAAAATTGTTTACAGATTAAAATTCATTCATTTCATACCAGTATTATAAAGATCATGCATGAAACAAATCTGCTTTCCCATACTTTTAAGTAAAACTTTTATACTGGAAAATAGACTATATTTCTATATATTAGAAACAAGAAAATACTAATTTGAATGTTCTGCATTCATTTCTAAATCTTTACTCCATTGCCAAATTGTATAATACTGTGATTATAAATAAACTTGCACAATCCTTGCAATTATTGAAGTCAGATTATATATATTTTGTCTCACACTATTCAATTTATTCTATTGACTTCAGATGTCAATGTCAAAATTCTGGAAGTTATTTTAACCAAGAAACAGTAGTGGGCACCGTGCATAAACAACTCATCTAACTTTTTAACAATAGTGATTATAAAATGAAGAAAAAAAATATATATCATTCCAACGATATTGCAACTATAGTATAATGTTACATATATCTTTAGCAAACATTCAGATTTTATCTTGACTTTCCAAATTATTATTTATTTTTTAATAAATTTCAATATGCTAATGAAGAAACACTTTCTTTTAAATGTGTGAAATATTTCATAACATATATGGAAGAAGAAAGTACAGCATTCTGTGTTTTGGATGACTTTCACCAAATGTAATATAAATACGAACTAGAAACCGTAATAAAAAGTCCTTCCTCTCCAATCAGATCACCTTTGTGTTGCATTGTATTTGTAATACTTCTAAAAATCCAATTTTTACCTAAATTAAAAAACAGTTATTCCATAAAAGATAATAAATTTGAACGTATATAGAATGAATTTTGTAATTTGAGTTATGTTACAAAATAATTCATAGTTTATATATTTTATACTAATAATTTAGATAAAACCTGTCCAATTTAAGAATGTGTGTTTAACCACATTCTTAAATTGTAAAAGGACGACTTAACCACATGTAATTCATTTCAAAGCATAAAAGAAAGCTTATTTTTTATTTTACACAGCAACAGCATTTTCATGCAGTCAAGTTTTTTTAATTGCTAGTTATTATACATAATACTTAATTTTTAACACATTCTTATTAGAAAGCATAACTAAGAAACTTCTTTTTAAAGCACCACAGTGATTGCAAAGAATGTCGTTAAATTTACAAAAGTATTGAAGATATATTGAACAGCATTATAACAAGAAACTACTGTACAAAATATGTAAATTTAGCATAATTTCTTTTTTAGTATTTGCATAGTTTCCTCCAAATGAACCTTAATGGGAAGTTATCTTGCAAAAATTTAAAAGTATTAAAATGGCCTCTATTTAAGATGTAACTGCATTTATAATTATTTTGTAATTGTGAATAGATTATATTATTGCAATTAGATTATGCACTTACAACATAATTGCATAAAGTAATGAAATTAAGAGTTCACAGATACAATGTAATATAATTACAATGCAATTATCTAAATTGTAATTATAATCACTTATTTAATACCACAATATTATTATAATCACAATGTAATTTAAATTGGGTACTATATTTGTATACCCTCCACTCAAATGGAGGTACTGATAAGCCTGGAAGTTATTATCAACAAAAAGCCTGTTCAGGACAGTTTGATGACAATTTCCACCGGGCGAAAAGTACATTCTTAAGCCCAGGCAAATCATGACAATAAAAATCATTTAGTCTCATGATTCACTATATTTCAAACCCTAAAAACCACACAGCCTAATTTTGAATTCTGCACCAAATTATTTACCTATATTTTAACATACTTTATGAATTATTAGAAGCGATATGGCAAATATCTTCTAAAAATAACTGTAAAATATTTGTATCCATTAATTGATTCAGATACACACTTTTATTATTTAAGTATATCAAAATAACAGTTTCATGTTCCTGAAATACAAAAATTATGAAAAAAGTTAAAAGTAATATTCTTAGAAGCATATGATATTAGTCACCAGCTGCAAAATAGTTAATTTTTTGCCCTAAATACAAGTTTATTACACAGTAGTCAAATGTGTAACTTAATAACATGTTATATAAAAAATTAATGATAATAAGTTTATCAGAAATGAATTAATTCTGCATAACTTTCTGCACTTGAAAATTTTCTACACCTGAGGGGAGGGAGAGATCTAGTAAAATTAGATTTATTATAACTTCAGTTGGACCAAATACCTTCTCTCTCTATATATATGCATCACTAAAGAAATAAATAAAATTATCATGCTTAAAAAACAGATGTACCATACCAGTTTTTTTCCCCTTGTTACCCTTTACATTGAGAAATAACAAACAGTACAACGCTGAAAAATACTATCTTTGAAATTTTGTTTAAATGAAGAAACACACACCATCTTTTTATTTAAGCATTACACTTCAAAAACAGATACACATACCAATTTATTTTCACTAGCCTTTATACTGAATAACATGCCATATAAAAATGAAAAGAATTATCCTTGAAATTTAGATAAAATGAAGTAACACAATGGGAAAATTTATGCACACGGACATCTTTTTTCTATTGCATGTTGTCTGACATGATCCACAAGTGCCTAAAAATGTACCCAAAGAAACACATTTCAATATTAACAAAAAATTGTTTACAGATTAAAATTCATTCATTTCATACCAGTATTATAAAGATCATGCATGAAACAAATCTGCTTTCCCATACTTTTAAGTAAAACTTAACTGAAATTTTATACTGGAAAATATGCTATATTTCTATATATTAGAAACAAGAAAATAATACCATAATAATATACTCATAGCCTAGCAGAAAGTAACATATATAACATCAAACACAGAAATTTATATACTCGTAGCCTAGGAAAAAGTAATACATATTACATAAAACACATAAATTATTTAATATAAAACATACATACCTTCTAAAATTATTTTACTTTTTGTTTCTTATTGGCCGATGCTGATGAATATGAAACGTTATGGGCTCTTTTGTTGATAAGATGCTGTGTAAGGCCTTTGCATCTAGTAATAAAAAAATTATCAATAATTACTTTCTTAAGATTACAGCATTCTGGCATGGCCACATGCGTACATTTATCAATTATTCTTTCAACTAATTCTTTTGTGATGGCTGATTGTAAACGAAGGAGTACATCTTTACATTTTTGAAATTCTCGTTCAGCTTCCCTACATATTCGATACATTCCTGAAGAGATGACCTTCAGTCCACCTTTATTGCTATGTTTTGTAAGAATTGTGCGATGCTCGGGTATGTCAGGTTCCAGCATGTCCTCTGAAATGGTCATAGCTGTTTTACAATTTTCACATATGCTTTTTTTTTTCAACAACTTATTATATATGGCTCCTGCGATGTAATGTATATCATTTTCTTCCACAGCTGGGGGCAAGCGACGTTTCACTGCCACTGCAGAAGAGGTAGATGGCACTACAGAATTGGAGATAGGATGCAAGACCTCCTTTCTGATAGCAACCTCTAATTCAGAAGCATCAAAGAGGCTGTGGTCACTTTCAGAACAATAATTTGGATTATTGATATCTGAAATGAACTGTGATAGGCACACTAATTTCAGTGCTCTCTTGGCTTGCAAAGCAGTAGGCTTTGCACCCGACTTTCGTCTAATCTGTGAAAAGGCATTTTCCAGCGCATCTTGTGTCAACCTGCCTGGTAAGAAAAATGTAAACCCCTCGGAAAAATTCTTTTCTTTTGAGAGTTTCACAACACTCAATGTGCTCATAATAATGCCAGTTTGAAATGGCTTCCATGCTTTTCCCAAACTGAACAGTTTCAGTCACATGAATGAATTTCAATAAAATATTAAATTTCTCATCTTGATTTTTGATAGTGATGCCTTTTTTTGGATGCCTTGCAGTCATAATTGTAAACCATTCTGCTACAAGTCTCAGCCACCATGCAGAAGTTAATGCTTCTTTTGCAACTTGGTGTAAAATAACCTGCTTTTTCAATAGCAGCAGCTGTTTTTACAGAAAACAATTGCACAGCAGATGCCCCATTCATCGAGGAAAAGTGTGTTGGGAAGAGATGAACTCTGTTCAAGTGATGTAGAGATCTCAGGGCAGCATCTGATTCTATCTCACTTGACCAGAGTCGTTTCACATACACTGAAGATACTATCCTCGATGGCAAGGCATGCTGCTGGCGAAATTCCTCTGGTAATATTATAATACTTGAAAGAAATGTATTTCTCATATTTTTAATGAGATGTGGTACATCTGCAATACTGTGAATGAAAACATCAGGTCCTCCAATATTGTAATTTGTCTTCCTATCTCTCCTAGAGACAGATACATCCAATGACGACCACATTGCTCTGTTATTGCTTCCCATATCTGAAACAGAGGCTCTTACAGTTAAACCTATTTCTGTAGCTGCTACTACAGTTCTATGAATTAGATCTTTCATGTCAGAACCTGATGTTGAAGGCCCTGTTAATTCATTGGCAACAATCTGTTTCCATGATGTTTTAAGGCCTCTAAGCATTACAATAGTGTAATGCTTAGCAACTTCCTAACGTAACATTTCCAATGAATGACTTAGACGATGTATCAAATCAAAATCTTGATATGAAGCTATTTCCATTTCGTCAACTAAAAGGCAGCAGTTCCTATCAAGAGCATCCAATGAATGAACTTTTGTCTTGAGGAAAAAAAAACAAATTTTCTAAAATGCCGAAATTAATTTTTATGTCCCTAATCCTCCTGTTCAAGGTACTGTACGATGGTGCTGGATATCCAGTACTTCTGAGGTAATTATATCCATGTTTGCCCAAAGCAAATCGCATCTTCATCTTCAGTCCTTTTATAATGGACTTTTCTGACCAGTTCCTTTTTGACTGCACAGCAAGGGTTCCTACTTGCTCATCGGACAAAAATGATGTCAATTTTGCATCTTTTTCTTGAAGCTGTTGCTCAAGGAATTCTATTTTTTTTAACAACTCTTCATTTGAAGCAGGTAGAGTTTCCTAAATTCAAAAAGAAATAGTAAACATGTTATGCTGTGATTATTTTTTTAAACAATGGTTGGACTGAATTAATATATTGTAATAACAATGATTTTTTCAACAATTTTTTTGGAGAATATTAAATAATTTACCACTTCAGTATTTGGCTTAGGACATCTTACTTTCTCTTATCCTCTTGTCAGTTACAGATGGTGGTGGATTTGGAATGCTAAAGAGTGTTGGTACTGCAGTTTTTCTTAGTTTTTTCTATCTTTGCATAGTGACTCAAATTGAGATTCCTCAAAATGATCCTGTAAATACATAAAGTAATAAAAAAAAGTATACAAAATAAATAAAAGTACAAAAAACAAACCACACGAAAGAAATGTGAGAAAAGTGTTTCACACAGTGAGGTTGTGCCAAAGGCAGCAAGCATGAACTGTAAGTAAGTATAGGCAATAAATAAATATGCAGGTAATTAAATTAGGCCCAGTATTATAAAAAACTGAAACAATAAACAAACCATGTCTAACATATCAGCAGCAGCATCTTGTAAGCTTGGGCAGAATTTAATTATCCAATATTTATTTTTTGCCTATAATTTAAAGTGTTCTTTAGAACATTATCCAAAAATTAAATGAAGTAGTGTTTTGCTATAAAATTAAAAACAACTAAAATAAAACTTTATATTTCTTGCTATAGTGCTCTTACAATAGATAAGAAAATATGAGTTCACTTCACCCAACTTTTAAGATACTAGGCCGATAAATACATTTATAATTAGAGCAGACTATGATTCTTGTTATAATTGTAGTAATGTTTATTGCTTTAATTGAAATATTTAATTTTTAATTCTCTAATCATTCAAAACATAGGCCCTAATTTCGAAGCACAGTGCCAACATGCATTTTAAAAAGCATCAAGGCCAGTTTAAACAAGAGTTAAACGACAATTTTTTAAATTACATCCCCACAGACATATCCATCCAATTAAAGTTATTAAAAACTCTAGAACGTAGTTCAGTAGCTTTCTGAATTTGTAGGCAATTTCTTATTTAGAGATGACAACACAAAATAACGCTTCAGAAAATATTATTTATCATGTATAAAAATCTGCTTTGTAACACATATCAGTAATAACTGTTTATCAATGTCATGAGGATTTAATTTGACGAGATCACATTCTTTAGAAGTATCAAATTCATGAAAGGATTTTGGCTTGGCCTTTGAAATTCATCATTATAGGCAGATTTATTTGATTGTTATGCATGCATTAAACACTACACATGCATTAAAAACACTACAATTACTCGTATTTTTGAAAAATACACATGCAGTTTCACAAGTTTTCTGTGCTTATTTGAATGTTCTGCATTCATTTCTAAATCTTTACTCTTATATCTTTTACTCCATTGCCAAATTGTATAATACTGTGATTATAAATATATGGTACTTGCAATTATTGAAGTCAGATTATATATATTTTGTCTCATACTATTCAATTTATTCTATTGACTTCAGATGTCAATGTCAAAATTCTATTCTGGAAGTTATTTTAACCAAGAAACATTAGTGGGCACCGTGCATAAAAAACTCATCTAACTTTTTAACAATAGTGATTATAAAATAAAGAAAAAAATTATATATCATTCCAACGATATTGCAACTATAGTATAATGTTACATATATCTTTAGCAAACATTCAGATTTTATCTTGACTTTCCAAATTATGATTTGTTTTTTAATAAATTTCAATATGCTAATGATTTTCATGTTTACATTAGTATAATTTCCACAATTAGCACAGGAAAACAAAATCTGCGCTTTATATTAGAAGAGAAATTTCTTTTCCACATTCAAAACATCCACATTGGCGATGTTTGGCGACGGGTACATTAACCCTAGACTAATTTAATTATAGCTATTATTACAGAAATTAGCAGATACTTAGGTTATTGTACACAAGAATTTCACTTTACTTACACATTATAAACATCAGAGAAGATATAAACTCTAAATCAAGGCGTAATTAACATTATACTTACTAAGCAAATTTCAGCGCTTGGACCAGGTTTCCAATTGTCTCTTCGGCAATTATTACCCATATATTTTCTTCATTTTTAGGAAATTTTACCAATGTATGAACCTTTCCGTGAATGATTTGACAATTAATAGCCGCCCATTTTACACAAAAAAAACACAAAAAATTGTTGCACCGTAACTACACAGCCGCCATTTAATCTCCCACTTGGGATAGCGAATGCCTGATGATTCAGCCTGGTATATAGGAGCCTTATCTGTGGGTGAGCCGTCTACCTGTTATATGAAGTCGTTGGTGGCAACCATCTTAGCCAAATTTCGTCGAAGATCATCCAAGGTTTCTAAAATATAGTATTTTACTGATCTTGAAGATCATCTTAGCCACATTTCGTTGAAGCATTCGAAAGCAGCGCTTTTGCTTTCTTCACGTCTGATGGGAGCATCTGGGAAGGTTTGGTTTGGTTTATTGAGATTATGGCAAAGCACACTAGGGCTATCTGCCCATAGGGAGGGATGCCTTTGTGGAGGACTTTCTAAGCATCTGGGAAGGAAAGGAGAGGGAGCGTCGTTTGAATCAATTGCGTTCAGGAGGGCGCTGTGTTCACGTACGATGGAGGCAGGATCTTAGGAGAGCTTAGGAAAATTTTCATTTTCCTTAAGAAAAATTTTCGCGAATATCCTCTACAATGTCTCGTTCTCAAAACCGAAAGTTATCCTGTACCTAAAGGTCTTATCTTCCTAGTAATCTTTTATAACACGAAGACGGAACATTCAGATAAGTGGAACTTCTTCTCTCGAAACTAAATCAAATATCTGTCACTAAAGTACCTTTAAAATCATTTATTTATTATATTCATTATTATCATGCTCATTTTATTATATTCTGGCATTAAATACTTAGTA